TCCAGCCAGGATCCGCCAGAGCCGTCCAGCCAGGATCCGCCAGAGCCGTCCAGCCGGGATCCGCCAGAGCCGTCCAGCCGGGATCCGCCAGAGCCGTCCAGCCAGGATCCGCCAGCCAGCCAGGATCCGCCAGAGCCAGCCAGCCAGGATCCGCCATTCAGTCCGGTGCTGCCCCTTAGTCCGGTGCTGACCCTTAGGCCGGTGCTGCCCCTTAGCCCGGTGCTGCCCCTTATCCTGGTGCTGCCCCTTATCCTGGTGCTGCTCCTTATCCTGGTGCTGCCCCTTATCCTGGTGCTGCCCCTTAGTCCGGTGTTGCCCCTTAGTCCGGTGCTGCCTCTTAGTCCGGTGCTGCCCCTTAGTCCGGTGCTTCCTCTTAGTCCGGTGCTGCCCCTTAATCCAGTGGGGTTAAATTGGAGGGTGGTCATTTGGAGGAGGCTACGAAAGCGGGTAGTGACTATGGTGGGGTGGGGACCACGACCAGTGCCAGAGCCGCCACCGTGGACAGACGCCCACCCAGACCCTCCCCTAGACTTTATGCAGGTGCGCCCGGAGTTCGCACCTTAAGGGGGGGGTTATGTCACACCCTGGCCTTAGTTATCTTTGTTTTCATTAATATTTTAGTTAGGTCAGGGTGTGACATGGTGAAGTATGTGTTTTGGTTTGTCTAGGGGTTTGTAGGTTATTGGGGTATGTCTTGTCTAGGTGTTTGTATGTTGATGGCTGCCTAGATTGGTTCTCAATTGGAGACAGCTGTGGTTTATTGTCTCTAATTGGGAGCCATATTTAAGGCAGCCATGGGCATCATGTGTTTGTGGGTAATTGTCTATGTTGAACGTTTGTTGCTTGTCAGTGCACTTACGTTGTTTAGCTTCACGGTCGTTTGTTGTTTTGTAAAGTTTTGGATAGTGTTTCGGTTTAGTGTTTTTCTCTCTTCCTAATAAAGAGATGTATTTTGCAAACGCTGCGCCTTGGTCCGCTTCCTTGGACGATCGTGACATGTTTACGACGCTAACAACTTCTGGACTGGCAATGATAATCATACCAACAGATCAGATTACATTTACAGTATTGAAGTAAACATATTTTATATGAACAGCACTTGCTATAATCAGACAATCCAAAGAGCATGGAAACAAAAGAGGAGTTTATTCCTTCAGAAACTTTGATCCAGGAAAGAGCTTTGTATCTGCAATGAATCATTTACTGATTTGATTATCTTGCTCCAGCATGCTCCAGCACACTGAAAAAAAGGGAAACCCCAAGAGGCCAAACAGACAGACAGCTCCTAATATAATCTGGTAGAGAGCAGCGGAAATACACAGCAGATTTCAATAGGGATGAGCTCTGCTTATGAAACATCACTGATTCCCCAAGGGGAAACAAAACGAATTGTATGGCCCCATAGCAACACAACAGCTCTCTGTTTCTCACATTTGGAGCAGACCAGCTCTTCCCTCTGCACCTCCTGTAGGATGCTCTCATAATCTGTGACACCTGATATTAACTTTCAGTATTACCTCAAAATGTTTCTAGCACCAACATGATAGACCACAGCTAATATAACCCCACTCCCATGACAAATCAGATGTGACATATGCCTATCCAACAGTGATCTGTATTTATGAGTCAGTGAATGTTTTCATAAGGTGTCACGCAGCATATGAATAAATGATAAAGGTCATGTGGCTGTAGGCCTGTTAATTAGCTTGTGGCCACCAAATATGAAACTTTCATTAGCTCAGAGAACATATAAGTAAACTAAACACGGGGAAAAATATACCCCGGCAATACAAAATACACGGAGCTCAACCGAGCTACTCTCCTCACATTAAACAATCACCCACAAGGACAAGGGGGCAGAGGGAACACTTATACAAGTACTAATGAGGGAATATGAACCATGGTGTGTGTAATAGACAAGACAAAACAAATGGAATGATGAGATGAGGAGCGGCAGTGGCTAGAAGGCCGGTGACGACGAACGCCGAAGCCTGCCCGAACAAGGAGAGGAGGCAGCTTCGGAGGAAGTTGTGACAAAGGATCAATAAAAATCATTTCAGCATCAATTTTAGAAATGATTAGTTTAAAATTGTTCTGTACTAAAATAGGATTAAGAAATATATATTGCATAGACAACATACAGCATTTGACATTTTCAGGTGTTAAAAGGCTCCTTCCATATACATAATTTAGTACATAAATTCCGGTACTGGAATAATATCCAATAAGTTATAGAAAAGGGCATGGGGAAGAGAAGAAAAGACAGATCTATCATTGGGCACTTATTCAATCATCCAATACATTACAATGAAATGTGCTCCTATTTATGACTTAATATCACAGGTTGCTGCTCTACACCTTACCTGTTGATGTTGTAGTACATGGGATGAGAAACATATACTGTAAGCACAATCCATAAAGGCTAAACTAAAAATGTGCATCTCACACTATGTCAGAAGTATAATCAGAGCCATGTTGTTACTATAGCTACAGTAGCTCTATATTGACAGTTGGAAGACTGTCCATATCCAGTGACAGTGACCAACCGTCTGGCAGATTAATACCCAGCTGCCTTGCCCATCTTTCTGGCATCTGAAACTGCTTGGATGCAACCGTTGTCCTTCTCCACATGGATAATTCAATAAATCTAATAAAGACTTGCTAAAGTGCCATAATTCAGCATTTTGATATGTCCATCAGTGCACCATCTGTGACTTCTAGGTCGGCAGGTAGCTTAGTGGTTAAGAGCGTTGTGCCAGTAACCAAAAGGTCGCTGGTTCTAATCCCTGAGCTGAAAAATCTGTCGATGTGCCCTTGAGCAAGGCACTTAACCCTAATTGCTCCTGTAAGTCGCTCTGGATAAGAGCGTCTGCTAAATGACTAAAATGTAAATGTTCTAGGAAGATCTTAACCCCAAGATTTTTTTCCACGTTTTCACCATCATTGTAATGCCCTAGTTATTATGTTGCTTTAACAAAGTAATTCCTGAAGATTATTTTTTATTTCATCTGATTAGTGATTCACATATGTCTGTCCCTCATTTAAAGGTCAACCCTGTTACGTGAATTGAACTCTTGTTTTAATATGGTGAAACAGTTCCTTTAAAAATAAAAGAATCGAAAGATAGTGTAAAATCAGGTGAGCGTGTTCTACTCTTTTTGGCAGTTTTCTGGTGTTTTGTGGTGAAAACTGAGTGGGTCAAGCATAACGGCAACCCAACATTTTTTTAAACAATAAAACAAAAATTGTGAATCGTGCATTCAATTGCCATACCCTGTTGCACACAACAAGCTTCCATTCCCCCTGTCACAATGGGATTTATGGCTGATTTAAGATGAATTTGTGAACCCTGAATCCTGTTACGGTCAACCCTATTACTTCTTTTGGCACTTCATATAGTCATTTTTTTATGAAGTTGAACATGTGCACTTTAGGACAGCGATTCTCAACTGGTGGGGGAGGTTTTGAATGGGTCGAGTGTCTGAGTAAAAAAAACTATTTTTTAATGAAAAATACTCCAGTCTGAACTTAAACGACTAAAAGCAGGTAGAAAGTGTGTAGAAATTATAATGAACCTATAATTTAACCTCTGAACTCTTTTTTTTCAATACAGTATTTTCAATATACAATTATTGGTGGCGCCATTTAGTGGATTTTGTTGATTTTGTGGTCTCAAACCAGTGAGCTTAACATTCTTCATCAAGAATATGGGCAAAATGTAATTATTGACAATGAAAGAGGTGGGACTGTTGTTCCCTTGTCATATAATTGACACATTTACTATCAATATTAAAAATAGTTTTCCAGATTTTGGAAGAAAAAGAATGTGCAATGCGAATATTGGATCGCGACTGAGACAACCTGGTTCAATTTCGGCCCGAGGCAAAATCAGTTGAGAACCACTACTTTATGACATAAAGTTAAATTAGGTGAAATCTCAAGTTTTTTTTTACCAAGTTACACTTCACAAAAGGACCCATGTGAGTGTTACAGAGGTATTTTTATTGTATGGCTCAATGTATTTGCATATATACAAAGTGAAACGTGGCTGGGTCTTTCAGCATGACAATGATCCCAAACACACCGCCCGGGCAACGAAGGAGTGGCTTCGTAAGAAGCATTTCAAGGTCCTGGAGTGGCCTAGCCAGTCTCCAGATCTCAACCCCATAGAAAATCTTTGGAGGGAGTTGAAAGTCCGTGTTGCCCAGCGACAGCCCCAAAACATCACTGCTCTAGAGGAGATCTGCATGGAGGAATGGGCCAAAATACCAGCAACAGTGTGTGAAAACCTTGTGAAGACTTACAGAAAACGTTTGACCTGTGTCATTGCCAACAAAGGGTATATAGCAAAGTATTGAGGAACTTTTGTTATTGACCAAATACTTATTTTCCACCATAATTTGCAAATAAATTCATTAAAAATCCTACAATGTGATTTTCTGGATTTTTTTTCTCTATTTGTCTGTCATAGTTGACGTGTACCTATGATGAAAATTACAGGCCTCTCTCATCTTTTTAAGTGGGAGAACTTGCACAATTGGTGGCTGACTAAATACATTTTTTCCCCACTGTAGTTTATACCATGGTCACTTACCAAGGCCGTCCCTGTGGTGATCATGCTGCCACCCGACCCGCCAATCACCAGTGTTTTGTACTTGGATTGCAACAGGGGACATGGAGGAGGGAGGCTGCTCACCTGCAAGCCAAACCATAAAACAAATCATTAAGGTGAGGCTACAAAAGCAATGAAGATGTCCAAGAGACTGACAGTTTATCTTACAGCCAACAATACAAACACATTTTTGTCACATATATGATCTGCTTTCCCACAGAAATCTGACAACTCATTGTTGAGGATGACACCGGTTTGAAGGGTAAAATATTTGACAGGTCATTGTGTGTATTAAGATGTTACATGGTTATACATAGCTAATGACAATTAGACATCTAATACATGACCCTAATGATGGTCATTGTAATGATTCTACACAGTGAATTACTCACATGTGATTGATAGCGCTGGTAACAGACACGGCAGTTCCATCCTCAGCCACCACAGACACGTGTCGTGAGCCTGGGGGGTCCAGGTATGGAGTGACGTTGTAGTACAGGGCATCATGGGTCTCATCACTGCTGATCATGGCCCTGAAGTGGTCAGCAAACTGCTGCTCAGTGAACTTACAGTAGCTTGCGAAAGTATTCACCCCCCTTGGCATTTTTCCTATTTTGTTGCCTTACAACCTGGAATTAAAATTGATTTTTTGGAGGTTTGTATCATTTGATTTACACAACATGCCTACCACTTTGAAGATGCAAAATATTTTTTATTGTGAAACAAGAAATAAGACAAAAAAACAGAAAACTTGAGCGTGCATAACTATTTGTAACAGTGTTGCTGCCGTCCCTCTCCTCGCCCCTACCTGGGCTTGAACCAGGGACCCTCTGCACACATCGACAACAGTCACCCTCGAAGCACCGTTACCCGTCGCTCCACAAAAGCCGCGGCCCTTGCAGAGCAAGGGAAACAACTACTTCAAGGTCTCAGAGCGAGTGACGTCACCGATTGAAACGCTACTAGCGCGCACCGCTAACTAGCTAGCCATTTCACACCGGTTACATATTCACCCCCCCAAAGTCAATACTTTGTAGAGCCACCTTTTGCAGCAATTACAGCTGCAAGTTTCTTGGGGTATGTCTCTATAAGCTTGGCACATCTAGCCACTGGGATTATTGCCCATTCTTCAAGGCAAAACTGCTCCAGCTCCTTCAAGTTGGATGGGTTCCACTGGTGTACATCAGTCATACCACAGATTCTCAATTGGATTGAGGTCTGGGCTTTGACTAGGCCATTCCAATACATTTAAATGTTTCTCCTTAAACCATGCGAGTGTTGCTTTAGCAGTATGCTTAGGGTCATTGTCCTGCTGGAAGGTGAACCTCCGTCCCAGTCTCAAATCTCTGGAAGACTGAAACAGGTTTCCCTCAAGAATTTCCCTGTATTTAGCGCCATCCATCTTTCCTTAGTAATAGGTAAAACGCCAAGGGGGATGAATACTTTTGCAAGGCACTGTAAGTGCTCTCTGGTCAAAGGAAGGAAATTACAGTATATGTTGCATTACAGTAGCGACAGTATACTGTATGTTGAACCACTATCAATTTAGCCACTTATAGTTTCATCCTCTTATCTTCTAATGCAGAATGCATGGTTTGCAGAATGTTTCAGTTTTGGATTATACATTGTTCTTAAGATCTGAATTAAATATATTGAGGGCTGGCTTTGTGTGTGAGTGACATATAGATCCTATTAAATTAGTATTCTAATTCCTAATTCAATGGTGAGTGATTTGAAAAGGTGTTTAACCCTGAGGCATGGCTGCAGACTCCTGTGATGCCATAGTTAGACGCCTACGAGTATACAGACATGTCTCAGGGCTAGCAGGTGTGCAGCGATAAGACATCTTGTGAACAATCTGTGAAAGAAACCCAGGAATATCTGATCACAGTAGTTTAATAGATTCTGCTTCAGCACATGAGATTGTATTAATCCTTTGCTGTTCCTGGCTGGCGACAGCCTCTGGTAATGCCTTCCACAACAGGCCCCCTAACAACACTTGGAGTTACTGTGAAAGCAAAGGGCATTAAAACCAGCATGAATTCTAGGGAGATTAACGGCTCAAGTTCCACATTGCAATAATGGATCATAGCTCTCAGGGTCCACAGAAGCCAGTAACACAGGCATATGACTTCACTAACTTCACTAGAGTAAATGACCCACACAGAAATGTGGTATTGGCTATATGGGGTATTTTCTCACTTTTCGTGACCACTCCACTCTGTCAAAATGAGCAGGGATGGATAGTAATTTAAGACTGGAGCACAGCTAAGATGGCAGCAGTAATAGCTGATGCTGTATATGCCTAAAATGTAAATGTATATAATGCTCCCTTGTCACTCAACATGACCCTGAGAGTACCCTGTTGGGATAAAACAGCACTTAGATCATTGATTTTGTCACACCCTGGCTCTGGGGACTCTATATGTTGAGCCAGGGTGTGTAGATTCTATGTGTTTGGTTTCTGTGTTGTAGTTTCTATGTGTTCTAGTTCTATGTTGGCCAGTGTGGTTCTCAATCAGAGGCAACGAGTGTCAGCTGTGGCTGGTTGTCTCTGATTGGGAACCACATTTAAACAGGCTGTTTTCCCACAATAGTTGTGGGATCTTGTTCCGTTTGGTTTGTTCCGTGTTGGTTGTGTTATACCTAGGACTTCACGTGTCGTTTGTTGTTTTGTTATTATTATCACTAAAGATAATAAAATATGTTTGCTCATCACGCTGCGCCTTGGTCTACTCCGTTCAACGATCGTGACAGATTTATGAAGTGTCTTGGTCTTGACCTGTACTGTATCATTCCTTAATGATTTCCTACACCTGGAGTCTTGTGGAACTTACTCCTGAGTTGAAGTGTGGATCACGGATGTACTTCCTCAGTCCGTTGGAAAGCTTACAAGCTTCAATGTAGCGTTGATAGGTTAAGAGTATTTTGCTCTCCCATCAGAGAAGCTGAGTTTAGGGTGTTTTCTATAGACAAAGACATACTGTAAGTAAAATGTAATAAGGAGGTGGGTATGCATGTTTTCTGGTCTCCATGATGCTTTCAATCTTTCCATTCTTATAATCATGTGTCAGTTAACCCAAATATCAATTAACCCAAATATCAATAAGCTAATGATGACTGTATATACTCAACATAAGAGCATGAATTCATGTAATTGAATGTATAGCACAATAGTGAGATTAAACAGTGTCACTCTTAAATGGGGTCCATCTTAAATTGAAAACATTGTGTTATTCAGTTCCAACCTTTCATGATGTTGAGGATGAAGCTGAGGATAGCGCCTCCTGATGGGGGTGGGGGAAAGTGCATCTGGTACTCTCCAAGAGGAATCGTCCATGCGTCTGTCACAGTCACTTTGAAAGATTCCAGGTCCTTCATGGTGAGATTTCCACATAAAATACAGTTACAAGCCAGCAGAAACATGAATTGAAATATTGATCAGCTAATCAGCACTCCAAATGCATATACATACCACAGGCGCATTATAGTTTGGGTGTGATCAATGTGAATACATTAGAGACTGCAGTGAATTGAATGGTTTCCTTGTAATAAAATATATTTGCTGTAAAGCACTACCACAATGGGGGAGAGAAGGGAATATCAATAATGGAACTTATCATATCTACATATCTTTTACGTCACAGATTAAATCCTCTGCTACTTTTTCAGTGTATAAAGCATCTGCCCCTTGGTTTGCAATTATCTCCAATGTGTCAGCCAATTTTTCAAACTTCACAGTGTCTCCAACCTTTAGCAGGTTTCCTTCCTTATCTATAAACAACTGACTAGAGGACAGGTCAAACGTAATTTTCGTGCAATGTGATGACAGAATGATGGCTTGACTGTTGCTCTCTTGAAATACATATCATGTTATACATCCACAGATCTGGGCCTCATCATCCTGTCATTTTGTCTCACTCTTGGGTGAGCTTAATGAGTTGGATTCCTCCAGTCATTTAGGGTCAGTGTGGTTCTCACATTAATGGTAGGGTCTTTAAAGGGGCAATCTGCATTTGCTACACAAACACTGTATAGCCTCAAAACATGGTTAAAACTATAATGTTGATATCATGGATGGTCAGTCCTTCTATCCATAGCTTTGTCCATGAATTTGAGAGTGGTACAATCTTTCCAGCCCCATCCCTCAGCTGTTTACCAAATCAGTGGGAGGGTGTCAGCTTTGTTATTGTTTGAACTGCAGATTGCCGCTTTAAGGTCCGGGTGTTTCTTACCGTAATGGTAGGGTGGGTCTCATCCCTGTTGATCAGTGGGATAAAGCGGCCCAGAACAGCAGACTTTTTACACACTATTTTCTCTCTCTCTCTCTATCCAAAACGGTCTATGGTCATGGAATCTATATATCTCCATATCCCTGAGATTGTTATAATTTACTGATTGTAGCTTAGTTTATGTTTGTCCGGTTTAATACTCATCATAATGGTAGGGTCTCATCCCTGTTGATCAGTGGGATAAAGTGGCTCAGGACCTGGGGTACAGGGAAACCCTCTCTGGCCAGCTTGATGGTGGGATGGAAGAGGCTGGCCCAGGGTAGTTTCCCAAACAGCCTGTGGGCCTGCTCATACCCACAGATCTCTCCAGGGACACAAATCCATTGGCTGCCTGGAACCAGGGGTGGGGGTGGGGGAAAACATACTTTTTACACACCATTTATCTCTCTCTCTCTCTATCTGAAATGGTCTTCGGTCACGGTATCTATCTCCATATCCCTGAGATTGCTATCACTTACTGTTTGTAGCTTAGTTTGTTTGTCTGCTTTCATATGCATAATGGAGTAAACATTGTTTAAAGGCCCAGTGCAGTCAAAAACGTGATTTTCCTATGTTTTATATATATTTCCACATTATGAGGTTGGAGTAATACTATGAAATTGTGAAAATGATAAGGTCATTTTAATGTAAGAGCTTTTTGAAAAGACAGCTTGAAATGTCAACCTGTTTTGGTGGGATTGAGTTTTGGCCTGCCTGGTGACATCACCAATAAGAAAGAGAGATCCAAACCTCTCTGCAAATAACAGCTAATTTTCTCTTTCCTCCTCTCCACTCCCAGCAGGACCGGTTCCAGGCATGAGCGACATAAGTGATCTCTTAGGGCCCCCGGCTGCCAGGGGGCCCCAACCAACCAATGTTTTATTTAATTTTTTACTCAGTCGAGGTCTCAACTCTGTTGAGAGTTAGAATAGTATAATACACAAGGTGCAATTTCAAAAGCAGTTTTTCTCTTGTTTTGTCAATCACTGACAGTCACTCAATTAGCCATGTCAGCTAACAATTTTTTGTTATCTAAACTTGTAGTAATCATGGCCGATTAATCACGTGCCCAGGGGCCCTGACCTCCAGGGTGCCCCCATTGATTTTGTTAGCCACTCTAATATCCATTTCATACACAGACTAACATCCAACTATTTTTTACCATGCCTGCTTTTTTATTTTTTATTAAATGTTTTATAAAATTGCACAATTTTCTCTGAGCCCCATGGCAAAATGTGTAGAACTGCAGAAAACTTGCTTTAAAACTGCAAAAAGATCTCTCTGCCCCATGGCAAAATCTGTAGAACTACAGAAAACGTGCTTTAAACTGCAACATTTTCTCTACGCCCATGGCAAAATGTGTAGAATTGCAGGAAATTAACTTTAAAACATAAATACATTAAAAACATTTGCCCGCTTGGTGGGGGCCTCCCACCAACCAAATCTCACTTAGGGACCCCAAAAGGCTAGAGCCGGCCCTGACTTTTGTTTCTTTTTGACAATTTTAATTGAAAACAATCACAGTAAGGTACTTAATTGTTACCCAGAAATTATTTGTTATTGAGATAAAAATAAATAAATAAAATACGGTTGCATTGGACCTTTAAGCCTTTCAGGAGTGGATTTCCTTTAGGGATTTTGCTAAGCCATTCAATTTCGACTAGTATGGTAATATCTATAAACTGCTGTTGTCCTCAGGTGCTCCCGGAAGGTGAATGACCTGTCCAGGTCACCCTGAGGTACGTGGGGGTGGGGTGGTGCTGTAGCTTATGGTTGTTCATCTACAGTAGATGTTGAGCTCTTTGTTGGCCTTTGCGTTATGGTGGTGGACTATACTGGACACAGACAGACAGATAGCCAGGCTCACTACATGCTGTGTAACCCCAATCCAGAGACATCCTGCAGAGAGGAGGATCGGCAGTAGATGGAGCCATTGCTGCGTTACTGAGCACCTCTGTCATCAAATCAAATCAAATTGTATTTGTCATATGCGCCGAATACAACAGGGTAGACCTTACAGTGAAATGCTTACTTACAAGCCCTTAACCAACAATGCAGTTTTAAGAAAGAATACCAAAAATTTTTTTGAAATAAAAGTAACAAATAATTAAAGAGCAGCAGTAAAATAACAATAGCGAGGCTATATACAGTGGGTACCAGTACCCAGTCAATGTGCAGGGGCACCGGTTAGTCAAGGTAATTGAGGTAATATGTACATGTAGGTAGAGTTATTAAAGTGACAATGCATAGATAATAAACAGAGAGTAGCAGCAGCGTAAAGGGGGGGGGGGGGGGGGATGCAAATAGTCTGGGTAGCCATTTGATTAGATGTTCAGGAGTCTTATGGCTTCGGGGTGGAAGCTGTTTAGTAGCTTCTTGGGCATAGACTTGGTACTCCGGTACCACTTGCCGAGCGGTAGCAGAGAGAACAGTCTATGACTAGGGTGGCTGGAGTCTTTGACAATTTTTAGGGGCTTCCTCTGACACCGCCTGGTATAGAGGTCCTGGATGACAGGAAGCTTGGCCCCAGCGATGTACTGGGTCTGTCACGACTGTCTGTGAGATTAACAGGCAGCTGTAACCTTTAACATACCTCGTTCAATCTCCTCAGGACTTTAAATGGCCCCACAAACCGCCGGCCCAGCTTCCGGCAGGGCAGGTGAAAGGGCAGGTTTCTGGTCGAGAGCCAGACCCGATCTCCCGGTGCATAAACCGGACCCTCACTGCGGTGGCGATCAGCGCTCGCCTTTTGCCGTCTGATGGCCCGCTGCAGATGGACGTGCGCAGCGTTCCATGTCTCCTCCGAGCGCCAAAACCATTCATCCACCGCAGGAGCCTCGATCTGGCTCTGATGCCAGGGTGCCAGAACCGGCTGATAACCCAACACACACTGGAAAGGAGTGAGATTAGTAGAGGAGTGGCGGAGTGAGTTTTGGGCTATCTCTGCCCAGGGAATATACCCCGACCACTCCTCCTGCCGGTCCTGGCAGTAGGACCTCAGAAACCTATCCACATCTTGGTTTACTCTCTCCACCTGCCCATTACTCTCAGGGTGAAAACCCGAGGTAAGGCTGATCGAGACCCCCAAACGTTCCATAAACGCCCTCCACACTCTAGAGGTGAACTGGGGACCCCGATCAGACACTATATCCTCAGGCACCCCGTAGTGCCGGAAAACGTGAGTAAACAGGGCTTCGGCCGTTTGTAGGGCTGTAGGAAGACCTGGCATAGGGATGAGACGGCAGGCCTTAGAAAACCGATCCACAACGACCAAGATCGTGGTATTCCCCTGGGAGGGGGGAAGGTCCGTGACAAAATCCACCGACAGGTGAGACCACGGCCATTGTGGAACGGGGAGAGGTTGTAACTTCCCCCTGGGCAGGTGTCTAGGCGCCTTACACTGGGCGCACACCGAGCAGGAAGAAACATAAACTCTCACGTCCTTAGCTAAGGTGGGCCACCAGTACTTCCCGCTAAGACAGTGCACCGTCCGACCAATACCAGGATGACCAGAGGAGGGTGACGTGTGAGCCCAATAAATCAGTCGTTCACGGACCTCGAGCGGCACATACCTCCGTCCCTCTGGACACTCTGGGGGAGAAGGGTCGGTACGTAACGCCCGCTCGATTTCCGTGTCGACCTCCCACACCACCGGTGCCACGAGACAAGACTCCGGTAGTATGGGAGTGGGCTCAATGGACCTCTCCTCTGTGTCATATCGTCGGGACAGGGCGTCTGCCTTAACGTTCTGTGACCCGGGTATATACGTGATCTTAAAGACAAACCGGGCCAGAAACATGGCCCACCTAGCCTGACGAGGGTTCAGTCTCTTCGCTGCCCGGATGTACTCCAGGTTACGATGGTCAGTCAGAATGAGAAAAGGGTGGTTAGCCCCCTCAAGCCAATGTCTCCACACCTTCAGGGCCTGGACCACAGCTAGCAGCTCCCTGTCCCCCACGTCATAATTGCGCTCCGCCGGACTGAGCTTCTTAGAATAGAAAGCACAGGGGCGGAGTTTTGGAGGCGTGCCCGAGCGCTGAGACAGTATAGCACCGATCCCCGCTTCGGACGCATCCACCTCGACTTGGAACGCCAAAGAGGGATCCGGATGTGCCAGCACCGGAGCTGAGGTGAACAGGTCCTTCAAATGACTAAACGCCCTGTCCGCCTCAGCCGACCACTGCAAACGCACCGGGCCCCCCTTTAGCAGGGAGGTAATGGGAGCCGCTACCTGTCCAAAACCCCGGATAAACCTCCAGTAGTAATTGGCAAAACCCCAAAACCGCTGCACCTCCTTTAATGTAGTTGGAGTCTGCCAATTACGCACGGCTGAAACGCGGTCAATCTCCATCTCCACCCCTGACGCAGACAACCGGTGTCCCAGGAAGGAGATGGACTCCTGGAAAAACAGACATTTCTCTGCCTTCACATACAGATCATGCTCCAACAGTCTACCCAGCACCCGACGTACCAGGGACACATGCTCGGTACGTGTAGCGGAGTATATCAGAATGTCATCAATATACACCACTACCCACTGTCCATGCAAATCCCGGAAAATCTCGTCTACAAATGATTGGAAGACTGAAGGAGCATTCATTAGACCGTATGGCATGACAAGGTACTCATAGTGACCCGAGGTGGTACTGAAGGCTGTTTTCCACTCATCTCCCTCCCGAATGCGCACCAGGTTGTAAGCGCTCCTGAGATCCAATTTTGTGAAGAAGCGCGCCCCGTGTAATGACTCCGTCATACTAGCAATCAGAGGGAGAGGATAGCTGTATTTAATAGTGATCTGATTGAGACCACGGTAATCAATACACGGGCGTAAACCCCCATCCTTCTTCTTCACAAAAAAAAAAACTTGAGGACGAAAACTTGAGGACGCAGGAGAAGTGGAAGGCCGTATGTATCCCTGTCTCAAGGATTCGGCGACGTATGTCTCCATAGCAGCTGTCTCCTCCTGAGACAGAGGATACACATGGCTGCGAGGGAGCGCCGCGCCAACCTGGAGGTCTATCGCACAATCCCCCTGTCGATGAGGTGGTAATTGAGTCGCCTTCTTCTTACAGAAGGCGCTTGACAAATCGGCATACTCAGGAGGAATGTGCATTGTGGGCATTTGGTTCGGACTCTCCACCGTCGTTGCCCCTACGGAAACACCTACACACCGCCCCACACACTGATCAGACCATCCCTTGAGAGCCCTCTGCTGCCATGAAATGTTGGGGTCATGAGATATTAACCAGGGAAGTCCCAACACCACTGGAAACGCAGGAGAGTCAATTAAATACAACTGTATTGTCTCCTCATGACCCTTCTGCGTTTTCATCTTCAGTGGCACTGTGACCTCCCTAATCAATCCCGACCCCAAAGGCCGGCTATCTAGGGCATGGATAGGGAAGGGCACATCGACTGGTAATATAGGGATCCCTAACTTATATGAGAAATGGCGATCGATAAAATTCCCAGCTACGCCTGAATCGACTAGCGCCTTATGCTGGGAGTAAGAAGAAACTTCTGGAAACATCACTTGGATACACATATGAACAGCAGAGAGCTCTGGGTGAGTTGGGACCTTACTCACCGGGAATGACTCATCAGTGCGCTGCCTGCTGCCTCGAATCCGAGGAGACCCTCCCCAGCACCGAACCGCCGTGTGTCCTCGGCGGCCACAGTTGGTGCAGGGGACAGCCTCCTTCCTGGCCTCCCTACTACCAGCACCCCCAAGCTCCATAGGGCTCGGCTCGGAGGTGCTGGGGGATGGAATGGACGGCCCCAGCGCTGGACGTCCGTGTGTAGCCAACAGGGTATCCAAGCGAATCGACATGTCCACCAGCTGATCGAAGCTTAGGTTGGTGTCCCTGCAGGCCAGCTCTCGACGAACGCCCTCCCTCAGGCTGCATCTGTAGTGGTCGATGAGGGCCCTCTCATTCCATCCCGAATTGGCAGCCAGAGTCCGGAAGTCCAGTGCGAATTCCTGCGCGCTCCTCCTCCCCTGTCTGAGGTGGAATAGACGCTCACCCGCCGCCTTCCCCTCCGGGGGATGATCGAACACTGCCCTGAAGCGGCGGGTGAACTCTGCATAGTTCACAGTAGCGGCGTCTATCCCTCCCCACTTGGCGTTGGCCCACTCCAGTGCCTTGCCGGACAGACAGGAGATGAGGGCAGACACGCTCTCGTATCCCGGGTGAATGGTTGCCAGGTAAAGTTCCACCTGGAGCAGGAAACCCTGACATCCGGCTGCGGTGCCATCATAAGCCCTCGGGAGCGAGAGCCGAATCCCACTGGACTCCGGATGTGAGACGATAGGAGTAGCCGATGGTGGTGGTATCGTTGGAGGAGGTGTGGGCAAACCTCCTCTCTCCCATCGTCCCAAAGTGTTCATAACGTTATCCATAGCGGCACCAAGATTTTGGAGCATCGCTGCCTGTTGTAGGACGCGCTCCTCGAGTGATCCAGTCGGTGCCGTCGCTCCTGCTGACTCCATGGTAAGGTGTGTGATTCTGTCACGACTGTCTGTGAGATGCGGTAAACGAAGTCAGGCGTAGGAAACAGAACTCTCGGATACGTACTTTTAATACGAAAAGGATCCAAAAGGACACAGAAAATAACTCCACGCAGGGAGGAAATAACCCGCTCACAAAATAGACAACCGTGAAGGGGAAAACAATCACACACAAAGTACAGATGAGAGACATGGGTAATTATAAGGGAAACAATTAACATAATGATGAACAGGTGTAAACAATACAGACAAAACTAAACAAACACCGATAAC